CACCCATTCCACATCTCGTACGCCGATGTCTTCTTGAACGCCGCGACCCATTGTTCCGAAAAGGGTTGCAGAATCATCGAGTCTCCCGCTGGGCCACCTTGTAGAGGTCAGCTATGCTCATACTTGTTGTTTCATGAGCGTTCAGTCCAGAGCTGATTCGACCTACCGACTCCCACAATCGATATATCTGACGTCTTGGCTTTGGAGACAAAATCTGCGTATTTGATGGATGACAGTGCTGCGCAGATGTATTCTTCAAATCGGCTGCGGAGATCGTCGTCGCTGCCCCTGAAACTGGTGAGATATATACGTCAGCTGGCAACGATGGACAAAGCTCGATCTCTTAGCTCACCCTGGGCGTTCGCCTTCGGCCTGTGCAAGTGGCAACGTGATGATTAGCTGCAAGCCTGAAACGGAGTATCTGATTCCCCAGATACGCACCATACCCCATGTCTCCTCGACTGTCCGCACGACATCATCCATCCATTTCCTGTCCGCTGGCGTTAACGCCACCAGTCTGTCAAGCTTGGGGTCGGTGAACTCGAACGTGTTTGTGTCAATCTGAGAACGGGGTGTGGTCAGCTCCGACTTGATTTGAAATTCCTACCTGCAGAGCTGACTTACATTCACCAGCAAATCATATTTGCAGTCCTTCTGCTGCGTCACGATTTGGTTTGTTGTGCCTACCAGCCAGCTATTGGCCTGTAGCATCTCGATTTGCTGTAATGGCATATACGGTTGGAAGAAGGAATCTTTGCCAAAGATGTGCAGAGCTTTAGGCGGTATCAGCTGCTGGTCTACGCGTACTTCCAGCGCATTGATCAGCAGCACTCACGCAGACCCATATATCTTAGCAAGCTCGATCGATCGCTCGTCCGTAATGATGTTGGTCTGACGCGGGTCTTCTTGGCGTCCAGATCAGGAGCGCCGGAATCTCGCAAGCTCATCAGGAGGCCTGTTGACGTTGTCAGCTGGCTTTTCACTAAGAAGGTTTTGAAATCACGAGCTCACCAGGTATCAGCGAGACCAGCGAGTACTGGTATGTACATAGCTTTTCCACTGGGTATCCATACAGCATCACCTGGAAAAGTCAAGGTCAGCTATCTAATCGGGCCAAAATCATAGTGAGCTTACCCTCTTCTGCAGCATCAGCAGCTTGAGTAACACCAATGTTCTATGTCTGAATTTGTGCACCAGCTCTCGAAGGCTCGTACCTGTGCTGAATCAGTTGCTGCCCCCGAATATGTGGATAGGCATTAAACTGACCCATGTAGATGGACCCTTCCCCGCTCTTCCCTTCCAAGCTACTCTCGAGGCTCTCATAGAAGTCTTCCAATATTTCTGTTTGAGTGAAGTCCCTGGGAAAGTTTATTTCACGTCAGCTTAGGACGAGACGTTAGATGTAACTCAAAGACAACGCTCACTTCTGCGCAAAGTACGCTCTCGTCACAATCCCCAATCGATCGCTGACCGTCTCCATATCAGCGCTAATTCCCGGTATGTACAAGCACGAGGTAGAACAGACCGTATAGGACCCTGTCCATGAGCTGGTCAGCCATATTCCAAGAGTCCCTGGCTTAAGTCAACTCACAAATACAGGCTGGCTGGCTATCACCACGATGGCCTTTTGCACCATACTCCTTGTGACATCGCTTGGCCGTCTCGTCAGCTCTGATGACGCGAGCTGACGATTACAGCTACGTAGGGCGATCGTCAGCAGTGGAGATTCGCAATCCTTCATTATTTAGCTGAGCTTACGATATCCCAAACAGCGTCTGAGAGGAAGGGACATCTGTGGGAACTTGACCGCCTGAGGGTGAGTATGTGCAGTGCTAGGTATGAGGACATCAGCTACTCTGCCGGACTAACAAGTGAGCTGACTCACGAAGTAGGAGTAATCTTCCTCGCTCTGTCATATTTTTGAGAAAGTTTTTGTTAGTAGGTACCCTAGCGAGATAGAAACGAAATAAGGGGTTGTAAGATGAGTTCACTTACCAGGTGCGCACCATCCGGCAATGCGAGGAAGGGAAGCAGCCTAGTCCATTCTTCGTCATCTTGTAAAGCCAATTGTAATGAAGGAGGATATGAAAACTCGACTGTCGGTCCAATCTAGAATGCAGTGGTGTGTAAGCAGAACGTCGAGAGTTTAGTCTTACTTCGGCTGAAGGCCTTCTGAACTCACCAGATGATTGAAGTCTACTACTGCTATGCCCAGTACGAGCGGTGTAGGCCCAGTCCCGCCGGTCAAGAGCGTAGCCGTTGACGCCGATGTGATGCTCGACTTGGAAGACGTCGGTGGTCTAGAAGAACTGGCTAGACTGGCCCTTCCGCTCGTGCTGGTCACAGAAGGCAACGAGAACCTTGAGGAGGAAGAAGTGGAGTTACGCCATGGCTCCTCGGACGATGCTTGTGGGTGTGGGTTGGGAGAAGCATTCAGGTCGATATTATCGAGAAACTCGGCGTCGTCGTCGGAATCGTGTGGGCTGGATTTGGAGAAGTCAAACAGGGCGGACTCGGGTCTGTCTTGGTGTCGTGAATTGCGCGATTGATGGGTGCTCTGGCTTGGCGAAGAGGGGGATTGCGGTTGCGGTTGATAGGCGTTTGACGACATCCTGGCGGAATCTGACGGCTTAGCAAGGTTCAGGCGGGTGGTGCTTGATTCCCAACCAAGCTGACGAGGCAGAATGACCAGAAAGAAGATGAAGATGAAGAGGTGGAAATGACAGGAGGACGTTGTGTGGGAGGAGAGCGATGGTGACCTGACGCGTGAAATTGAGTGAGCTGCAGCCAAAACTCACGGACGGAAATGAAATGACGCACGGTCCTCGCCAGGTTTCAGTACGCGCTGGTAACAAGGACGACCGTGGGAAAACTGCGTTAGACACAATCTCCCTCACCAGTGCTCGTATTGAAGATGCATGAGCGATCCCGATCATATATGACCATGACATGTGTCGTACGCATCGCCGGGGCGCCAAGGAGGCAGATGGGCTGAGACATACATTGAGGCAGCCTCGAATTGAGGAGATCGTGACGTTGCTTCATGCCTTGTGTCCGGCAGTTCCCGGCCTCTTCTCAGTGTCGCTGTGGGCAGCTCCGCGAACCGTCCGAGATGTTCAATTCATCGCACTTGTGAGCGGACCAACAGCCGAGAGGGGTGATCCATGCATGATGAGATATGAGATACACAGCACGAGCTAACTCGCGATGCGGTATTAATGATGACTACGCCTACGCCTACGTCCGCCCTCCTTCGTCGATCCGCTCTCAACTGCCACCCGCCGGCCGCACTAAGGGCTCGATCCTGGCGGAGGAGGAGTAGCAGTCACCGTCGCTCCTTCCGGTACAGTCTTCGGCTCACCCTCACCCGCTACTTTCGCCACCGCTTCACCTTCACCGTCCCCTCGCTCAGCTTTTATTCTCTCCAGAGCTCTGAATACTTTAGATTGCAAGTAATGAGAATGCGTAGGAGCTTTGCTGGCCTTCTTGCCTGCTGCAGGCGTCGTGTGGGCCTCGGGCTTGGCGGAAGGTGGAGGAGGACCGTTAGCGGCGAAGATTCGGTCGTAGTTCTGGTCAAACAAAAATGCGGCGAGTGTCGCAAAATCAGCGTTTAGTGATTGCTATTCGTGATATATCGCGACGATTCTCCTGTCTCCACGTCATGTCCGCTTTTGCTCCCCAATCTTGCTGTATTTGTTCCGCTGTCCTACCGGTGCGCTACGGCTACTTCGCACCAGGACTGCTCGACCACACGATCTACTGCTCCTACGGTCTTGGTGTGTTGCCGCATCCACACCCAAGACACTCCTTCGTCGCTTGCCATTGTGTCCACCTCCAGACTACTGCTTAAGACTACTGCTTCCTCAATCACAAGAAGCCGAGCAATGTCGCGGGTTTCCATTCTTTCTCGCTGACTCACAACGCCCATGGACCTCATCCTCAAACCGAGAACACAGAAGCCAAGTCCAGATACAATGGGAGACGATGTGCCCCATCCTACTCACCTTTTGAATGATATCCAGCGGTTCATCCTTCTTCACATTCAAGATCAAGTGCGCCTCATCCAAGCTCATCTGCAGCTGACTCGTAATCTTATTCTTCGATGATCCAGCTCCTACAGGTGCTGAATCCGGACTTCCCTCGGGCTTGTGCTTGAAATCTATCGTGGATGTAACATTAGTGAGATGCGTCAGGCGGCGAGGACGATATGAGGGTTATCGCTATGATTGTTAGCGATGTCATACGGGCTGAGGAGGAGGCGTCCACTCACTTCGCGCAGCTTGTTGTCCTGCAGCTGCCGTAGCTCGTCCTAATACTTTGATACCCGTGAGGAACAGCATAGGGATCGTCGTCAACGGCGACTATGGACAGCAAATCCATCGAAATGTCAGTGTCCCCGAATTTATCCGTCAGCCGTCCTAGGATCCTTCCGCAATTCCCAGCTCGTCATGATTTGCAACGGATTTCGCCCAGTCATAATAGGCTCTTCGATCTGGCCTCTTTAGGTCTGACGCCGCCACCGCCATGCCAGTCCCCTCCCAGACGGTGACGCGCGCGCCCACTCTTCCACGATCCAATGTGGCGCCTAGCAGAGCGTTCCACGACGCCGAACATTTCACGTTCCTCGTGACCTTTGATGTCCAAATGACCTAGAAAAACATCAACGTACCATAGCTGGAGGTGTCGGTCTCATTCTGTCCTGATTGTTGCGTAGAGTATGTCACAGAAATCAGCGATTGGCAGTGCGTGATCGTATCAAGTCCCTGATTGGCGAGGAGTCTGCTAGCTGTGTGTATTTCGTCGACTAATTTGGCGATCCTATCGAAACATCTTGACAATACAGCAACAAAAAGTCCGGGTGAAGAAGCGGTTTGGCCGCTCCTCACTCATCTTTCGAAATATGATATGATACGGATCTTAAGTGGGGGGGTCACGCAACGAAAACCGTAACGCCCATTGAAAACCCGCAAATTCTCCACCAAACCATCCAACAAAAACTAAGCCCATGGTGGGACTCGAACCCACAATCTTCTGCTCTGCCTCGACGAGGTAGAAGGCAAACGCCTTAACCATTAGGCTACACGGGCAGTGACTTTTGCTTGCTTGCAAGCAACAGTCGGCAAAAGTTGGATTCTTAGCGAGGATATACGGATCTAGTTTGTGGAAGCTCATGCTGCCCAACAGTTGACAAAGATATGCCTGTTTAGTCTAAGTTCTGCTGAGATGTTTGACTACCTGTGCCAGGCTGAGCAGAAGATTGGGAGTTCAATCTTGTCATTGGCTCTGTTTTGGGGTAATAGTGTGGTGGAGCAAGTGGGGGTCGCGTTTCCGCGATTGCTTCCGAAACTCTAGAGCATAGGTGGCGTCGAGCACTGTTACGTTCAACGGGATCTTTCATCGTCGCAAGGTGGTCAAGTGGTCGCAATGTAGTCAAGTGTGTCGTTTCACGAGGTCTGTATGGTCCAACGCAGCATGTTGGGAAGATCTGTAGCGATACGGAGTGTGCCACGAAGGAGATAAACAATTCCGCCACACTCCTTTTGTTGCCAAAGGACCCCAGAGGATGGGTACTTGTTCCGAAGAGGTTTCGCCACCCGGGTCGAGGTCACTCATAGATTGCACCGACAAGTGCTCGACATTGGTATGAGCAGTGTACTTCCTTGCTCTGCATAATCCTGACGCTCGCTGTCATTGGAGTTCTTTGTCCGTTGGCTAGGCTCCTCGTCGAATGTCAACCGAAAGGCGTCGTCAGAGTCAACTGCTATCAACAGATTCGTAGAGTGTAGACAGGTTGACGCAGTGAGGCTGGAACAATGAGCCGAGCCAGTGTCTTTGTACCTCGCTCAGGGGCTAGGTGTTGCCATCGAACCACGCTGCGAAGTATGAACTGACCGAAAACTACGGGTCTCGTTCTTACAGGTACATGACACTGAATCCTGGTGATTTCGAGGGTCATGGTACAGGCCGATCAAGAAAGCGCCGATTAAGAGATATAGCGAAATCACAATCGAGGCGAGTGCGGTCCAGTCCGAGTTATTGTCGCAGAGCGCCGAAGAGTGCGCCGACTCATTCCGCCATACGTTCTCCGTTGTCCTCTTGCTTGATAACAGCTTCTCGAGGAGTGAGTGTCAGTGCTCTGAGTAGCCACTTCCACGCAGGGTCGATCTGTTTCCAAATGTGACGGTTCTTCCAACCCGTTTTCTATCGAGGGGCGTCGCGAGGTCAGGAACCAAGAGACTGGAGTGTCTTGTTCTTCATGCCTGAGCCTGCGTCTCACGATTGGAACCATAAACCATGCAGAAACAAAGACAAGAGGCAAGCTTTGCATGCAGTTTGATGGAGCTACAATACCATATATGACCCCGTATCTGTATGACTGGAGGATCCAGGCCTCATGCGAAGCCTACCTCGGCTACGATGAGCTGGATGTTTGTTAAGGGGTATTGTTGTACCCGAGACTGCCATGTCGTCGCCGGATCATATACCAGTGAAAGACCGTTCAATTAGGATGCAGCACCGCCCTCTCCATCCCCTTACCGATACCCTTACCCCCTCCTCTTGAAGATATGATAAACGAAGGTGTGTGGCTACTAAATCGGAAGGAACCGATCAGAAAGCAGTCAAACTCAAGAGTGGAAGGAAAGAGTATCGGGAGAAGACGAAGGCTTCGGTGATCGATCCGCTCCTCACGACTTTCAGTAGTATATGATCCGGCGACGACACACCAGTCTCGGATACGAAAACATCCCGTTAAACAATATTCAACCCATCGTACCCGAGGTCGTCTATGTCGATCTCCAAGATTGGGAGCAAGAGTGTCACGATCGCCTCAAGCTTCAACTCCCCGGACGAGACAAGCACTTCATCGTGCGCGGGAGAAGAGCACTCCGAGAACCTCACGGGACCGCCTACAGCTATAGGGCGCCAGTGGCTCCAACGCCGTCTCCCGTCCAACGGGTGATCGACGACGTGAAGAAATCTCTGGACGAGGATAAAGACAAGCCAGACAAGGATAAGAGGAAGTGCATCGTGCTCGCCAGATGGACTACCCTCTTAACTTTTGAGCAGCTGTACTTTGCCCGCTCCGGAGTCTTCACCGTCGCTCTCCACGGCAAGCATACCATCGAGGAGAGAAGGAACATCGTCCGAGACTTTCAGCAGGATGGCGATCATCGCTGCGATCGTTTGATGGAATCGTTGAAAAGGCTTCCTTGGCTGTACAGGCAGCTCGGACGGGCCATTGGTGGCTGCTCTGATGTTTTCGGTGTATGGAATGAGGACTGTTGTTATCGTTTGTTCTGTTCGCTGTATTTGTGGAGGTGTTGGTACTTTTGTGGGGATTGCTGAAGCAGGGATTTTCGGGATACGGGATGCTTATGATTAGGAAGTGTCGGCTGAGTGTTAGACTTATCGCTTGTCGATGATGGACTTTGTGTTTGTGGTATGGTTTCCGCCTTAGTCTGGGCCTTGACGATCCAGGACTCGATAGTATGCCAGTGGTATGATCGCATGTCGACTTCGAGTGATCCAAGGGGGTTGCGTCACTCTGACAACCTAGTGTTGTAGGCTGATTCGACTTTACGATGTCCCATGCGTGAGAGTTGTTGAGGCGTGTTGTGTCGAAGGAGTGGGAGTAGGAATGTACTTTGGGGTATAGCGGCGAGTGCGAGATTGATGAGTGTGAGATCGAAAGTTGACAGTACTGTATGAGGTCTGGATTCACTGCCCCAATGGTATGGTTCAGCATGGTCGAATTTGGGAAGACAAGTTGTTTTCAATGAGGGGTGGGTGTACTGTATCCATCTCATCACCGGCTTTTATACCTTTCAGATTGGCAGAGTATTCAGTTGAAAGATGCGGCACTCTACCAATCGGTGATCGTACGATTGTCAGCATGGTTCGTGAGCCCGGGAGTTTTTCGCATTCTGATGGCCAAGAAGGATCGTGCTCAATTATTTTGGGTCTAGATTTGATGGTATCCATGTGCGATTTTTGTTTTTTTTGGGGGTCAACGCCTAGCTTAGATTGATTCGTTAAGAAAGAACTAGAATCGGGTTCCGCCAGCAATCTCGAAGCAAGGATCTAGCGAGTGTGTGTGAGGTTAAAAAGGAGATCCCGTACTCCGTATGTCTGTTGATTGATTGCTAGAGGCTTTCTGTCTGCGCAGACCGAGGCCTTCCACTCTTCGTGTTCGGATAAGTCCCCGATCACGAGTGATCGGCGATAGCGGCGGCAATGAGATACGCTTGGGCCATCCAAGTGTATCCTTGTATGTACCGTGGCTTCCTCTGTAGTAGTATGCTCCGTCGCTTTCATACCCCTCAGAGCTAAAGACTCTGTAAGATGTGGATGGCAGTGGACAACGATTTCACATGCACGCTTGAAGACCCTTCATCTGGCTCCTCGTCTTTCCCTTCCATAAGGGGATGCGGCTAATCTGGATGAGCAACCAGCTTGCAAAGGGTCAGACGCCCCTTGGTTGCTTGATGTGTGTGTCCTCTCGCTCTCTTGATCTCCCCCTAGTCCCCCCTCCCCGCGCCTCGGCGAATCTCGAGTACTTCCTAATTTTTTTAATTTTTAATTTTTTTTTTCGTTCTATCCGACCACGATAGCGGGAGGCCGAAGCGTAATGAAGAGCCCAGACTTTCCACGGGTGCCTTGGCAGCGATCATTAGACCTGAGACACGATCATGGCACAGCGCGAGCTTCGGGTGAACTACTCCGACCTTGCGGATACACCCCACTGACAGTGGGATCCCGTGTTCATGCCACAACAGTTGCTCATTCGTCCCTCTTATTTGAAAAAGACGAGTCTGACGTCGAGACTTGAGGTTCTTTCCACAGGTCCACATATCGCATTATGTACTCGTCTGCTTCTTTCCCCTATTGCTACGACCTTCGTAGCTGCAAGATACTGCTAGCCGCATAAACGATTGGAAGTGGAAAGAACATACCCAATTTCGGTCCCGCCTTTGCCCGGTGCAGCGCAAACGGTTAGGTAATTGGTACATCTCTAGGCTCGGAATACAGTCGCATCCACGTAAGGTGTATCTCCAATAGAAGCAAAAGGAAACCCGGCCACAAGAAGATGATGGACCTTGGCGGTCATGCGTTTGCGGGATGGGTTTACTGCCACCAATTTTTTTTTTCGAAGGCTGCTGCGAAATTCGTAGCAGCAGAAAGAGCGGCGACGCGCCAACACCACTGTACGTGTTTGTATTTTCAGGCACGCACCATTTGATCCGGTCGATCGCCTGTCATATCATCGATCCGAAGCATAAAGAAAGCGTCATCATCGAATTACGATGCTCAGATTATCAGACATTTCAAGATTTCGACATTGCGCAGATCATGACATATAAATCAGTTGACTTTGTTTACATTGTTGACAATTCCACCTCACTGCGAATAAAGCCTCCTGACGGCCGTAGCTACCGATCAATATGGTTCGCATATCAATACCGACGCTACCAAAGGCGCCTTTAGTACCACCCTCTGGTCTCTCGGTGTTACCGATCCCTCAAGCGGCGGCACATCTAGCTTCGTTCCTTGAGAAGGGCAAGGGGAAGACTGTCATGCTCACGGGCGCTGGTGTCAGTGTGGATTCTGGGATCAGAGCGTATAGGGGTGAGAAGGGGACGTATAGTAATCCGAACTACAAGTGAGTCGCGTACTGAGCGGCGGTTTCAAGGAGCTAGTTGCTGGGTCCACAGGGGCTGAAATATATGCAGACCAATTTTGTTTCACGAGCTGGTGGAAGATAGCGAGAGGGGGGATATGTTTAGGTGAGCGAGAGCGACCTAATGACCGCCGAACTCAGCTCACTGACGCTTCTTATTCCGACCACAGACGGCGTTGTGCGTGTTTCTCAATCGCGCATGAGCGCAAGAGGAAGAAAACGAGATACTGACGAACCGGGCGAAACGCTCGCTTGACACAGACTGGGCACGGTCTTTCTTAGGTGTAAGTGAGGTTCTGTCAACATTCGAAGTATACCTGCTCGCGAATAACGCTGACGCCCGCTGCTATGTCCGCAGTACCCCCCTGTCCGAGACGCTCAACCGAACCCCACGCATATATACATAGC